ATTTGAGGTGTCTTCATTTCCAGGTACATTAGGAGTAGGAGGTGGTGCAGTGTCCTGCGGATTGGCATTGAGTACAAGAGGAGTAATTGGAGGTAAAGTAATTGACAAGTCTCTCCCCCCCGCGTCTTGTACTTCTAGCAATTCATCATAAGGGTTTTCACTGCTCCCACTGACCTTAAAATCTTCAAGGAAATGAGCATCTTTGGTTTCTACAATGCGAGTGACGTGGGAAGGACAATAAAATCTGTAACCCTTTGAGTGAGAAGGATAACCAATGAAGTAGCAAGTTACAGTTCTCATGTCGAGTTTCTTCAAGAAGGGATTATATAGTTTAGCTTCGGCAAGACAACCCCATACTTTCATATATCTTAGACTCGGTTTCCTTCCTGTCCAGAGTTCATAAGGAGTTTTAGGGACAACTTTAGAAGGAACCCTATTGAGTATATGAACGGCTGTTTTTAAGGCCTCGGTCTAGAGAAATAGAGGTAAACCTGAGTTGGCTAACATACTGCGTACCATGTCCATTAGGGTCTTATTTCTTCTCTCAGCAACACCATTCTGCTGAGGAGTACCAGGCATAGTATATAGATTCACGATCCCCTCGCCCTTACAAAACTCATAAAATGGACCAGGAGCTTGACCCACATCAGTATGTCTACCATAATATTCTCCTCCTCTATCTGATCTTATAACTTTTATCTGACGATCAAGTTGTTTTTCAACTTCAGTTTTATAATCTTTAAAAGTTGTAAGTGATTCAGATTTTTCCTTAATGAGATACAAGTACATATAACGGGAATAATCATCAATATAAGTGATAAATGAGTTATGTCCAGTTATGCCAGCGATAGAGTAAGGACCACTAATATCAGTGTGGATGAGATCTAATAAATTAGAACTCCTAGTGGCACCTTTCTTATTCACTGATGTCATTTTACCTTTAAGGCATTTAACACATGTTCCAAAATCATTGAAATCGAGAGATGGTAACACTTCATTCTTCACGAGTCTAGATAAACGTTCTCGTGAAATGTGGCCTAAGCGTTGATGCCACAACATGGATGAAGTTTCTAAGTCTCGTTTTCGTTTTCTCTTTGTTAGTGTCAAATTGATATTATATGACAACAAAGATTTGGAAAAATCATCATCTAGTTCTAATTTATAGAGACCACCATCCAGAAAACCATGACCAAACACTTGAGAATTGAAACTAATAGTAAGTCTGCCATGACCATGAGAAACATCAAAACCGTCTATGTCTAACTTTGGTCCTGATACTAAATTCCGAGTAATCTCAGGAATATATAAGGTATCATAAAGTTTAATACATAAACCAGTTTTCATTATTAATTCTAAGGTTCCCACGGCTTCGACAGCTAGTTCTGTTCCATTCCCCAGCTTAAGTGTTCTTCGGTTTCTTTCCAGCTTCTGGATTGTAAGGAATCCCTGAAGTGAGTTGGTTACATGAACCATAGAACCAGAGTCAAACCACCATGTATTAGTTGGAACATTTAAATTAAAGGACTCAAGTATCATGTAAAGATGATTACCTTTCTTCGTCAGCCACTCCTTAAAGTCTTGGCAGTCTTTCTGTCTATGTCCTTCCTTGCGGCAGAACTTGCAGTAAGACTTCCCTTTAGAGTT